GAAAATCCAGCAGAGGAGAGGGGGATAAGGGATCCCCAGCTTCCATGTGCATTGTCACAAGTCCATACTCACCCCTAAGCCGTGTATGTTCAGAACACATGAAAAACCACATAGCAAAAGCTTTGAGAACTGAACTGCCGTATAGCCCATCCCCTATGTCCCAGACTAACCTCTAAGAAGTGCATGCAAAGAGCAGACCCAAACAGCATAGCAAATACTTTGAAAACTGAAGTCTTTGGAACTGCTCCCCACAGAAAGTGACAGAACTTTCCATCCAAACCTAACAGGGTTAACTCCCTGCTAAAATAATAACAACCAACATTCTGCAGAGGACTTAAATGGGCCCAGAATCTCACAATTTAGTACACAAAATGTCTAAGATTCAACCTATTAAGAATTAAGAAAATGCGACCAATTCTTAAGGGAAAAAATAATCAATAGATGTCAACCCCAAGATGTTGACATTATTAGACAAATACCTTAAAACACCTATTATGTGCTTCTTCCAGAAGGTAAAAGTAAACACTATTGAAATCAATAGAAATATAGAAGCTCTAAGCAAAGAAATATAAATTATAAAAAGGAACCTATTGGAAATTTAAAACTGAGAAATACAGCATCTGAAATAAAATATTTACTGGGCACAGTTGAGAGCAGAATGAAAATGACTGACCAATCCATGAACTTGAATTTGGACCAACAGAAATTTCCAATCTGAAAAACAGAGAAAAAAATGGAAAAAAAAAAGATGAGTACAATCATGAGGACTTTTGGGACAATATCAAAAAGATAAAATTTATGTCAGTGGAATTCCAGGAGAGAAGAAAAAGATTGGTGTGGAAAATATATGTGATGATATAATGGCTGAGAATTACCCAAATTTAGTAAAGTTATAAATTTACATATATGGAATCTCAGTGACCCCCCAAACAGGAATGAATTCAAGAAAACCATGCCCTAACATGGGAGGAAATTGCTTGACTTCATTTTCCCATCCTGGAAAATTCAACTTAACTCTATTGATAGGAGAATACATTTCACAGAATTCATTATTAAAGAACTCTGCAAAATCATTATCTTTTGCTTAGAAACTCTATCATTTTATTATCCACAAACTTCAGAAAATGTAAAGAGAACTAATTAAGGAATTCTAAAATTAAACTTAGCAAAGTTTAGTTTTCAAAAACCCTTTAATTTCTTTTTTTTTTTTTTTTTTTTTTTTTTGAGACGGAGTCTCGCTCTGTCACCCAGGCTGGAGTGCAGTGGCCGGATCTCAGCTCACTGCAAGTTCCGCCTCCCGGGTTTACGCCATTCTCCTGCCTCAGCCTCCCGAGTAGCTGGGACTACAGGTGCCCGCCACCTCGCCCGGCTAGTTTTTTTGTATTTTTTAGTAGAGACGGGGTTTCACCGTATTAGCCAGGATAGTCTCGATCTCCTGACCTGGTGATCCGCCCGTCTCGGCCTCCCAAAGTGCTGGGATTACAGGCTTGAGCCACCGTGCCCGGCCAAAAAAACCCTTTAATTTCTATGGCCTAAAGCAGGGTTCAGCAAACCCTGACACAGAGCCAGAGTAAATAATTCAGGTTTTGTGGATTTTGCGGTAGAAAAGACTCCTCCAATCTCCTGCCTAGAAGGTATAGGTCTGGCTCTGGTATTCTCAGAGCACAGCAGGTAAAGAGAACAAGGAGCATTCAGCTTTCACTACAGTACCCTCACCCTTAGCTGTGCCTGGTCCAGGTGAGTCCAGGGTCTCTCTGCATTAATTTTTCTGGAGCATAAACCTTTAGGCTTTGTCCTTTTGTGGGAGAAGGAGTGTTAAAAGTTTGTGAAGAGTGGAAGAAGAGATTTAGGTGTCTGTTCTCATACTTTCAACCCCACTTTCAGAGATAGCTGCCACCAAATCCTGAGCCTTTAGAGTTATTTGGCTTTATTCTTTTATAGTCACTCCACAGGCATTTAGCCTTTTCCTTTCTCAGGTCTCCTAAATCAATTAGTACTAGTCTGTTTTTCAGCTTCCAAAATTTTGTTGACAGTTTTTATCTACTGTCATCTCCCTCTTCCTCCATTTGCTCTCCCATTTTCTTTAATATCATGGGTTTTTTCCTCTTAAAATAATATTTTTATGGCATTATAGCAGGGTAAATTAATGTGATTAAATTTACCTGGAAATGTAAGTCTCAACAGGATATAGGTAGATATAGCATTTATTAAAAGTTAAGTTTGCTGGAAAACAGTAAGTTCCTTTAATATGTAATCTAAGCTCTTTTTTTCCACTCAGGAACATTTTCTTCTCATACCTTGCATTATTACTTCTTTTTTGTTGGTTTTGCTCCCTGTTCCTACAATAAAAGTCTTTTATTCCTACATTTGATTTTCGTCCTTTGCTCTCTGTATCTATCATCTTCTCTTATAATGTCTACTTTGGAGTTTTAGTTTTGTTTTTGTTTTTACAGTCTGGAAGTACTTCTCAATTGTATCCTTATACAACAGGAATCTCATTTTGCCATGAATCTCATGTCAGTTCTGCTTCTTATACAACTTTTGTTTCATTGAAATCTATTCTTTCTCAGCTAACAGTCCCTTCATCTCTAATCTCTATTTACATCACATTTGGGTTTCTAGTCTTTTCCAGTCATCTAAATGTCTTCCTGTGATCACCTGCTTTTCTTTTTTCCTCTTTCTCCTTTGTTTTCTTTTTCTTTTCTTTTTTTTTTTTTTTTTTGATAGACAAGGTCTTGCTCTGTTACCTAGGCTGAAGTGCAGTGGTGCGATCATGTCTCACTGCAGCCTCAACTTCCTAAGTTCAAGGGATCGTCCTGCCTTAGCCCTCTGAGTACCTGGGACTACAGGTGCATGCCACCATGCCTGGCTATTTTTTTTTTTTTTTTTTTCTTGGCAGAGACAGGTCTCACAATATTGTAGAGACAGGTCTCACTATATTGCCCAGGTTGACACATTTCTTTTTTCTTTTTTTTTGAGAGAGGGTGGTACTTTGTCACCCAGGCTGGAGTGTAGTGGCACAATCCCAGCTCACTGCAGCCTCGACCTCCTGGGCTCAAGCTATCCTCCTGCCTCAGCCCCCCAAGTAGCTGGGACTACAGGTATGCACCACCATGCCCTGCTAAATTTTTGTATTTTTTTATAGAGATGGGGTTTCTCCAGGCACATTTCTTTCATTGAAAACACATTAAGCAGATATCATAGTTCCTAACATGTGTGTCTACTTTGTCTAATCAAAGCATTTTCAGCGGCATGTCTTTCTGAGTCTTCAGGGATGACAGTTCTGTTTTCTTTACAATGCATGTTGTTTGTCACTAGTCCATGTTGGCAAGTTGGCCTTTTTTTTTTTCATCCTTGAATGAAAATTGAAGTAAGTAGTTCTCATTTCATATTTTGAACAAGAAACATTAACACCAAAACAGTAGGCAGAACCAAAACCTGCACAGAAGTATCAAGGCTAGAAATGCCAAGAGGGAAATTTAAAGGGTTCACAAAGTAAAGAAGATCAGAGGCAGGTATCACCTGTTTCCATTGCAGTCAGAGAACAGGTAAGTCCAGACATGGAAGATGTGGACATTTCTTTTACGGATCAGAAGGTAAGGATCATCTGGGATATAGTGACTAGGAACCATGGAGGTGGAAAGATTCTTTGAGAAACAGAATTGTGGTGATTTGTGCAGAAAGGAGCTTAAGATTTGATGATTGGATTTGTCCTCTTAGGGGTGGTATCCTTGATATGGTTTGGCTCTGTGTCCCCACCGAAATCTCACCTTGAATTGTAATAATCCCCACATGTCAAGGGCGGGACCAGGTGGAGATAACAGAATCATGGAAGTGGTACCCCCTGACCCCACCCCACCACCAACCCTGGTGCTGTTCTCGTGATAGTGACTGAGTTCTCACAAGATCAGGTGGTTTTATAAAGGGCTTCCCCCTTCGTTCGGCACTCATTTTCGCTCCTGTTGCCCTGTGAAGAGGTGCCTTCCACCATGATTGTAAGTTTCCTGAGGCCTCCCCAGCCATGTAGAGTGTGAGTTAATTAAACCTCTTTATAAAGTACCCAGTTTTGGGTATTTCTTCATAGCAGCATGAGAATGAACTAATACAATCCTCTATCACTATAAATAGTGTTATGACAATGTGTGATAGGAGCAAAATCTATCATGAATATGTAGTATCTATTTCTTCGAGAAACTTCCCCTTCCCCACCACTTGTGATTCTGGTGGATCTGTCAACTACAGGAGTCTACTCTTTTATTGGGGTAGGAACCCACTGCCCTAGCAACAGTAATTCATCCAAAGGATGATGACGCTGGAGGTGAAATTTGAGTCTAATGTAAATAGAGTTATAGAAAAGATAGCTGACCATGAGTGATACTGTCACCCTCTAAGAAACCCTAGATATAAAGTGAGAGGAATGTAGTGAAGACAATCATCTTATAAACATAAATGAGGAAAGGATGACCTCATGTTAGAGGAAGTGATGCCAGCAAAAACTTAACATTAAAGTAACTCTCAGAGATATGTCATAACATTGAAAGTACAAAGGATGAAATGTTAGAAGATAATCAAAACTTAGAAAGGAGTATGACGATTTGCAAAGGCATAGAAAAGATGTTTATGCAGTATCACAAGTTATACTATGAGAAGGTAAGTGTTATTCAGACTTTTCTTGATAAGTGTGTGGTTTGTTTTTGTGGTAAGTTTTTTTTGGAGAAAGTAAAAATGTTTTATTAAATCTTAGTTCAGAGAGTGTGTGGGAGCATTATCTCCACTATTACACACTATGCAACTTAAAAAGATAATTTTTCAAAGAGAAATACATACTTGCCATGTACATGGACGATAATATTGCAGAAAGAAATGTCCTTGTTTCTTATGCAAATTATTCCATAAGTTTGAAAATTTTTGAATGTCACTGAATAGTTTGAGAAAAAACTTAGAAGCTCTTGAATACTAGAGTATTCAAAAGTGTGAACAAAAATCATGGGGGGGAGAGTCAAGAGTGGGAGAAGAGCGGAGCGTGTGAGCAGCACAGCGGCCTCCTCTCCTCTCCTCACCTCGCTCTTGCAGCCTACCTTTACCCGCCCATCTGCCCGGCACCCAGAATACCTTCCACCATGACCACCTCAGCATGTTCCCACTTAAATAAAGGCATCAAGCAGGTGTACATGTCCCTGCCTCAGGGTGAGAAAGTCCAGGTCATGTATATCTGGATCGATGGTACTGGAGAAGGAGTGCACTGCAAGACCCAGACCCTGGACAGTGAGCCCAAGTGTGTGGAAGAGTTGCCTGAGGGGAATTTCAATGCCTCTAGTACTTTACAGTCTGAAGGCTCCAACCGTGACATGTATCTCATTCCTGCTGCTATGTTTAAGGACCTCTTCCGTAAGGACCCTAACAAGCTGGTATTGTGTGATGTTTTCAAGTACAATTGAAAGCCTGCAGAGACCAATTTGAGGCACACCTGTAAATGGATAATTGACATGGTGAGCAACCAGCACCCTTGGTTTGGCATGGAGCAGGAATATACCCTCATGGGGACAAATGGGCACCCCTTTGGTTGGCCTTCCAACGGCTTCCTAGGGCCTCACAGTCCATATTACTGCAGCATGGGAGCAGACAGAACCTATGGCAGGGACATCATGGAGGCTCATTACCAGGCCTGCTTGTATGCTGGAGTCAGGATTACAGGGACTAATGTTGAGGTCATGCCTGCCCAGTGGGAATTTCAAATTGAACCCTGTGAAGGAATCAGCATGGGAGATCATCTCTGGGTGGCCCATTTCATCTTGCATTGTGTGTGTGAAGACTTTGGAGTGATAGCAACCTTTGATCCTAAGCCCATACCTAGGAACTGGAATGGTGCAGGCTGCCATACCAACTTTAGTACCAAGGCCATGCGGGAGGAGAATGGTCTGAAGTACACTGAGGAGGCCATCGAGAAACTAAGCAAGCGACACCAGTACCACATCCTCGCCTATGATCCCAAGAGAGGCCTGGACAATGCCCGACGCCTAACTGGATTCCATGAAACCTCCAACATCAACGACTTTTCTGCTAGTGTAGCCAGTCGTAGCGCCAGCTTATGCATTCCCCAGACTGTCAGCCAGGAGAAGAAGGGTTACTCTGAAGACCGTCGCCCCTCTACCAACTGCGATCCCTTTTCGGTGACAGAAGCCCTCATCCACACGTGTCTTCTCAATGAAACAGGTGATGAGCCCTTCCAGTACAAAAACTAAGTGGACTAGACCTCCAGCTGTCGAGCACCTCCTAGTTCTTCATCCCACTCCAACTCTTCCCCCTCTCCCAGTTGTCCCAATTGTAACTCAAAGGGTGGAATATTAAGGTCTTAAAAAAAATAATGGGAGATTTTTTCCTATAATGAAATGATTGAAGTGTTCATACCTATAAAATTTTTCAGTGTTGAAAAATAAAAAATAATTTTAAAGTGCACCTTCCAAAATATCTCCTGTAAGTAGGTAAGAGCAACCTGTATATCTTAAGATATTAGTTAAGAATTTGGAAACAGAGGAAGAAAAATTCTTAGCAGTGGTTATTTTGGTAAGTTTTCTTTAAAAAAACACTTTAAATCTCAATATTTCTAATGTTTTAAATTGCAGTGTACTAAATAAATATTTATGTTACTACCTTTTTCACTTCCCCATTCATTATAACCAACAAAAGATATTTTTTACATTTCGATGAAAAATTTTGAAAGGTGACTAAACAATTGTAGTTTTCCCCATTGATTATTAAGATCACTTTGCATGATTTCAGCATGAACAGTCCTTTTGAGTCCCACATCACTGTGAAAAGTAAGGATTCCTGTGATGGAAATTGAATCAACTTCAGAATCATTCATGTTGATAAGACCAGTAGTTCTTATGTTATGTTCCCCAAAATCCTGGGTTCCATCAAAGTGTTTCAAAGTTTTCAAACATTTCACAAATGTTTGATTTTAATTTCATTTTTAAAAATTAGCTTATTTCTTAAATTAATAAAATTTATTCTTTAGAATAGTTTTAAGTTTACAGAAAAAATTAGCAGACAGTGCTGAAAGCTCCCATTTTATTATACATGTTTACTATGATTAGTGAACCAATATTAATACATTTTATTGATACATAATTGTACATGTTAAAGCACATGTGATATTTTGATACAAGCATACAATGTGTAATGACCAAATTAGATTAATTAGAATGTCTATCACCTAAAACATTTATCATTTCCTTGTATTGGGAACATTTCAAATCTAATCTTCTAGATATTTTGAAATATACAAAAAATTATTGTTAACTATTGTCACCCTACTGTGCTATCAAACACTAGAACTTATTTCTTCTGTCTAACTGTATGTTTGTACCCATTAGCGAACCATTGCGCATCTCCTCACCCACCCTTTCCAGCCACTGATAACCATCATTCACTATCTTCATGAAATCAGCTTTTTTCATCACCTCAAGCATTTATCATTTCTTTGTGTTGCAAACATTCCAATTATCTCTTTTAGTTATTTTTTAATGTACAATAAATCATTGTTTACTGTAGTCACCCTGTTGTACTATCAAATACTAGGTCTTATTCATATTCATTCTAATTATATTATTCTTGTACCCAGTAATTTCACACACACACACACACACCCCAACCCCTGGTAACCATCATTCTACTCTCTATGTCTATGAGTTCAAGTGTTTTAATTTCTAGCTCTTACAGATGAGTGAGAGTATGCAAAGTTTGTCTTTATGTGCCTGGCTTATTTCACTTAACATAATGTCCTCCAGTCCATCCACGTTGTTGCAACTGACAGGATCTTGTTCCTTTTATAGGCAGGTAGTACTCCATTGTGTATATGTGCCAACATTTTCTTCATCCATTCATCTGTTGGTGGACACTGAGTTTGGTTCCAAATCTTGGCTATTGTGAATAGTGCTGCAGTAAACATGGGAGTGTAGGTATCTCTTTGATATACTAATTTTCTTTCTTTTGGGCATATACCTAGCAAAGGGATGGCTGAATTATATGGTAGCTCTATTTTTAGTTTTCTGAGGAACCTCCATACTGTTCTCCATAGTGGCTGTACTAATTTACATTCTCACCAACAGTGTAGGAGGGTTTGTTTTTCTGCACATACTCGCCAGCATTCATTATTGCCTGTCTTTTAGATAAAAGCCATTTGAACCAGAATGAGATGATATCTCATTGTAGTTTCAATTTGCATTTATCTGATGACCAGTGACATTGAGCACTTTTCATAAATCTGTTTGCCATTTATATGTTTTCTTTTGAGAAATGTCTATTCAGATCTTTTGCCTATTTTTAAAATTTAAGTTCGGGAGTACATGTGCAGGTTTGTTACATAGGTAAACTTGTGTCATGGGGGATTGTTGCACAGATTAGTTCATCACCCAGGTATCAAGCCTAGTACCCATTGTTATTTTTCCTGATCTCCTCACTCCTCCCACCCTCCACCCTCCAATAGGCCCCAGTATGTTTTGTTCCCCTCTATGAGTCCATGTGTTCTCATAATTTAGCTCCCACTTATAAGTGAGACCATGTGGTATTTGGTTTTCTGATCTTGTGTTAGTTTGCTAAGGATAATGGCCTCCAGCTCCATCCATGTCCCTGCAAAGGATATCTCGTTGTATTTTATGGCTGCATCATATTCTGTGGTGTATATGTACATTTTCTTTATCCAGTTTGTCATTGATGGGTATTTAGGTTGATTCTATGTCTTTGCTATTTTGAATAGTGCTGTAATGAACATACACATGCATGTGACTTTATAAAATAATGATTTCTATTCCTTTGGGTGTATACCCAGTAATGGGATTGCTGGGTTGAATGGTATTTCTGTCTTTAGGTCTTTGAGGAATTGCCACACTGTCTTCCACAATGGTTGAACTAATTTACACTCCCACCAACAGTGTATAAGTGTTCCTTTTTCTTCACAACCTCTCCAACATCCTTTTTTTTTTTTTTTTTTTTTTTTTTACTTTTTATTAATAGCCATTCTGACTCCTGGGAGATGGTGTCACATTGTGATTTTGATTTGCATTTCTTTAATTATCAGTAATATTTAGCTTTGTTTTCCAATATGCTTGTTGGCCATATGTATATCTTCTTTTAAAAAGTGTCTGTTCATGTCCTTTGCCCACTTTTATATGGGGTTGTTTCTTTTTTTCTTGTAAATTTGTTTTAAGTTTCTTATGGATGCTGGATATTAGACCTTTGTTGGATACATAGTTTGCAAAAATTTTTTTCCTAATCTGTAGGTTGTCTGTTCACTCTGTTGGTAGTTTCTTGTGCTGTGCAGAAGCTCTTTAGTTTAATTAGATCCCACTGTCAATTTTTGCTTTTGTTTTTTGCCCATTTTAAAATGAATTATTAGGCCAGGCGTGGTGGCTCACACCTGTAATCCCAGCACTTTGGGAGGCTGAGATGGGTGGATCACCTGAGGTCAAGAGTTCAAGATCAGCCTGGCCAACATGGTGAAACCCTTTCTTTACAAAAATACAAAAAAAATAGCCAAGCATGGTGGTGCAAGCCTGTAATCCCAGCTACTCAGGAGGCTGAGACAGGAGAATCACTTGAACCTGGGAGGCAGAGGTTGCAGTGAGCCAAGATCGTGCCACTGCAGTCCAGCCTGGGCAACAAGAGCAAAACTCCATCTCAAAAAAAAAAAATAAATTATTAGATTTTTTTCCTGTTGAATTGAATTCCTTACATATTCAAGTTATTAATCCCTCATCAGATTGATAGTTTGTGAATATTTTCTCCCATTCAATGGATGGTCTCTTCACTTTGTTGATTGTTTACTTTGCTGTGAAGAAGCTTTTTAACTTGATGTGATCCCATTTGTCCCTTTTTGCTTTGGTTGCCTATGTTTTTGGGGTATTACTCAAGAAATCTTTGCCCAGACCAATGTCCTGTAGAGTTTCCCCAATGTTTCCTTTTAGTAGCTTCCCAGTTTGAGATCTTAGATTTAAGTCTTTGATCCACTTTGATTTTATTTCCCATACGGTGAGAGACAGGGGTCTAATTTCATTCTGTTGCCTATGGAAATCCAGTTTTCCTATCACCATTTATTGAAGAGACTGTTCTTTCTCCAATGTGTGTTCTTTGCACCTTTGTCAAAAATGAGTTCACTGTAGATGTATGCATTTGTTTCCGGGTTCTCTGTTCTGTCCCATTGATCTATGTGTCTGTTGTTTTTATGCCAGTACCATGCTCTTTTTGTTACTATAGTTCTGTGATTCCTCCAGTGTTGTGATTCCTCCAGTTTTGTTCTTTTTGCTCAGATGGCTTTAGTTATTCTGGGTCTTTCGTGGTTCCATGTAAAATTTAAGATTATTTTTTCTATTTCTTTGAAGAATATCCTCACTATTTTCATAGGGATTGCACTGAATCTGTAGATTGCCTTAGGAAATATGGACATTTTATCAATATTGATTTTTCCAATCCATGAATATGGAATATCTTTCTATTTTTTATGTCCTTTTCAATTTCTTGCATCAATGTTGAATAGTTTTCATTATAGAGATTTTTCACTTCTTTGGTTAAGTTTGTTTCTAGATATTTTATTTTATTTGTAATAATGTAAATGGAATTACTTCCTTGATTTATTTTTCAGATTGTTTGCTATTAGCATACAGAAATGCTACTGATTTTTGTAGTTGATTTGTACTCTGCCACTTTACTGAATTTGTTTTTCAGTTCTAATAGTTTTGTAGTGAAATCTTTAGGTTTTTGCAAATATAAGATTATATCACTTGCAAACAAGAAAAATTTGACTTCTTCCTTTCTTTGGGTGCCTTTCTTTCTGTTGTCTGATTGCTCTAGCTAGGAATTTCAGTACTGTGTTGAATAATAGTAGTGAAAGTGAGCATCCTGGTCATGTTCCAGATCTTAGAAGAAAGACTTTCAGTTTTTCCCTGTTCAGTATGATTCTAGCTGTGGGTCTGTCATATATGCCTTTTATTTTGTTGAAGTATGTCTCATCTATACCCAGTTGTTTTTTTTAATTCATAAAACTTTTATTCCACTTACATGAATTTAATAAATGTGTCCTTAACAATTATGCTTGGATTGTTCATGAAAATTTCATAAGACATTAAACAAACATAGCCATCATCTCAAGTTATTTCCCTGTTAACTATTTTTACAGAGCATATATGTTAGGCAATTATCAAAAAAAAAAAAATCACAAAAGCAAAAAACCTAAAAAAAAGTTAAATACATGGGTTTTTGTTTTACTGCTGTGCTTGATATACGTGAAGTAATGAATACCAGGCAATTCATTTTTACTGCATCTTTACTTTTACATTTGTTCTTAGGTTGCCTAAAACATTTAAATACAAAT